GCTTCGAAATCCGGCAGTCAGCAACAAAATGGTAATCAGCAATACTACAAGACTCAACAAGTGCAGCAGCAAGCTCGCCATGCTCCAGTGGCTGGCGCTCAATTTGTCGATATTCCTGCTGCGGCGAGCAGCTGGTATTCCCTTGCGTGACCGCCGTCTCGCAAGCCTAGACAGCCTGGCTTTTGCGGAGCTTGAGGACCACTTGGAGGTCTTTTGTCGGCCACTCGATGTGGTCTTTTGTCTGCCACTCGATGCCGCAGTGGAGGTCGTGATTATTTGTATATTTTCTGACTTCCGCGCCGGTGGTGTGGCATGGACGGCCTTCATGGATTGTGCTTCTTTGCTGAGTAACACAGTGCGCCAGCAGATGCACTGCCTCCAAGCATGTCCGCGTGTCATGTCCTTGGCGTTCAAACGGACGGCAACAAGAACTGGCAAGCCGCTGCTAAAGATTTGGGGCTGGAGCATCACTAGTCACCCATCAGGTCAAGACCTTCTGCAAGCGTGTAAAGCCCGGCGGTGTGCTCCTCTCTTGTGTAGCCGGAACTCAGGTGCTGGACAGAAGCTGGCAGAGCTTCAAGACGTTTTTGCCACCCAAGCTGTCTGCAAGGCTCAGAGTGGATGGCGACAGTGCTAAGAATCCTGCTGCCACACAGCAGTTGTTCATGTGGAACTAGCGCGCATCGCTTGGACCGTGCACGCCCAAACAGTTCGTCGACGTGCTGGAAAGCCTGCTGTGACAAAACCAACTCAGGACCGCCTTGTTTGTCTTGTAAAACCCAAACCATTCCCTTGCTTTCGAAGTAGTTCTGGATGCATCGAAAGTCCTTCCTCGCTTGGTAAAAACCCACACAAAACACCGTTCCCCCATGTAAATGATGGGAAAAGCACGATTAACTTCGTCGGAGAGCTGATCCTCTGCAAAAGCTGTACAAACCCGGCATAAGAATCACCTCGGCAAGACAGAGAGGCTGTTTAGTACGCGGCGTAATATGAGCCGTGGACCTAGTTTAGCTCTTGCTCACGGCCCGCGAGGATTACCGACGTACAGCCGTACAGCAAGCTTCATCCCGTGAACACACAGGAATTCATGCGCGGTCCAACAACAACAACAACCCATTGCCACATAACCCGTCTCTGCCCCTCCTTCCCTCCGTCCTTCCCTCCCTCCCTCCCTTCCTCCCTCCCTTTTTCTCTCTCTCTCTCTCTCTCTCTCTCTCTCTCTTTCGGCAGGGTTAGGGGCAGAGAGGTTTCCCCCTCTGCCCGCGCGCCGTTGGCGCCCCCGACTGGTGCGGAGGGATTGGGCTCTCTCTCTCTCTCTTTTTCTCTCTCTCTTTTTTTCTCTCTCTCTCTCTCTCTCTCTCTCTCTCTCCCTCCATCTCTCTTTGCTTTGCTCGCTCTCTCTCACTCTCTCTCTGTCCAGCCGCGTGTGCAGGCCACGCGAGTTGCACGCTATGCCATGGTTGACTTCAAACTGAGAGCCAAATTTCAGACTCACATATCCCACTGGAAAAACTGAAAACCCTGTAAATGTCGGCCATTCCTGTCGGTTAAGTTGCCTGCCAGGGTGGTTGCGGAGACCATGCTCTTTCGCATAAGACACGTGGCTGTAGCATTCCTGCATAACACGCCAAATGCTCAAACTTGCACGCTGTCGATGCGAAGGCCCGGTGACCGAGCCCGAGGCAAGAAACGGAGATGAAGTGTGAAGGTTGGTTGGTGGGGCAAAGTGACGGCATGGTTGGGGCAAAGAGGCGCAGACGTCGCACGTGGGCCCTTGCCGGGTTCAAGCTTCGAGACGAGACGCAGAGTAGTGCATGCCGCGCATTGTGAGATGTTTCTCGCTTGCTTGCTGATTACATCGACTGTGCGGCTTCGGCCCGGAAGACTTGACAGCGGCTATGGACTCAGGCAGAAAAAGAAAGCTGCACTCACCAGTGGCCGCGGCTACAACTCCTGAGTTCGTGAAAATGTAAGCGCGGGATTTGCTCGTGCCGAACACACCACCACTCCCAAAGCCTTGGAACGGGTTCGCCCAGAATCCCTAGAAACCAATGCAACCCAAGCTAAACGTTCCAACTGTCGCTCTTGCGGACACTCTCCTCGCCAGGCTGTGCATCGTGACCTGCCAGGGACTGAGCTGCATTTGGCCTAGCCAAAAATAGCCAAAGTCCGAAGATTTACTGACAAACAAGCCGTGTTTGCGGACCTGAGCTCGCGACACGTAAAGACAAAGGCTGAAAAGACTCCCAGACCCCACCAGCAGGGAACCCGCAACCAGCAGGCGAAACCCCCGACCCGAAGTCTTGAGCGTCCCGGCATATTCGGAACGCCAACGAAGCGACAGACTCATGGTTGTTGCAGGGGCCCTCGGCAGAGGTTTTACGTTGTTTTGCGACGGTCTTGGGCTTTTATGGTTCGGCGACAGGCAGTCTTTCAAAGAACAGCATGTTCGGTAATGGGAGGAGTACCCAAAGTCAAGCGCGGTTTGGCGACAGCTTCAAGGTCCTAGCCATGCTCCCTGGGCCAAAGAGGCATTACAGTGGTCAGGATCTTCTCTCACGAAGACATAGAGGCGGTAGTTGCCGCCTTGGATCAATCTGGAAGAGTAGGTCCGCAGGCATGTCCAACACTTTTCCGACCCGCTCCAAGCTTCAGAAGCTTCAAGAAGCTGGGCGTAAGACAACACTCCATGATAGCCGATGTCCCCTTACCCTTCCAAGAATGTCTACTAGAAGCGGAAGACCTTTGTTTCGGAGTGAACAGCTTAGATCCTTCACCGCCCACCATCGCTCCCGCTGCTGAGGCTCGGGTCCTTCTTCAAACTTGAAACCGCAAGAAGATTGCGCGCAGTTTCTGCAGGTGCTTCAAGACGTTGTATTCTTCGCAAACTGAGGTATGGGCGATGTAAGTTACAGCTTGTAATGCAGCGAGTCTAGACAGATTCACAGTCAAAAACACAGGAGGTTGGCTTCAACGGCCCAGCTCAGACCTAGCATGCTCCACCGTACTCCTCAAAGCCTCCACTACTGCCTCTACTCGTAAGACAAATCCCAATCAACAAACAGGGACACACCGCTTTTGTCTAGAGTATATGTTCTGTAGCGCTGAGAAAATTTAACTGCAATTTGTTGCATGTCTTTTGTTCTCGGATGCTGTGCTTGCCCGTCAGAGCCGAGAACAGGCACAAGACAAAGAACACTCGTCAAGCTCTAGTTTTTTTTGCAAACTTCAAACATATGCCTGCAATTCTACATAACATATAGAGTGCGGCAGCACGGCAACCTGGCGAATGACTGATGATGTCGATCTTACCCTATCAAGTTATCAAGTGGAGCCCAACCGTCAACATGGTGAAATGTGCGGCTGCCCAGAACAGGACGTATAGATGTACCACTAATCAAGAAATCGGACACCCGGCAGGCAATCCAGCATCGAAGCGGCCCATCGTCAAACCAGTCGCGTTGAGCTGCACCTCCAGGGGGACACCCAGTCTGAGTTACCTTTGCTCTGCGGTCCATATCCAAATAGCCACCATCATGTTTTCAAGAAAGGCGGGATCTTCGTTCCCAATCCACTAAATCACCACCTGAGTAACCCCCCGCCAAGAACCTGCCGACCTCCAGACCCAGGGCGCTGGTGTTTTCCACACCATCCACAAACCTGCTGAACCACGGCGTGGGGGCGAGGGGGCCGGGGGCGGGGGGGTCCGCAGAGACGCGAATGGATTTTTGGCTGGGTGGTCTGGGCTTCTGCGATGGTTGTTGACTGTCGGTCGTTCTCAAAGTGTCAATCAAGCAGCATCTCCGGTCTGTTTTTACCCTCTCCCAGATCCGAGCTTACAACCCATCATTACCTGAAGAAGCACTTCGAGATCACGATGCCAGTGAAGCCGAGAAGCACGTCCGCCAACAAAGGATTGGTAGCTTCGAACCTTTGGCTCATAAAACAATTCTGCTCCATGCAAACAAGGGTTGGGCTGCTCAGAACATTCCACAGCTTGAGCCTTGGCAGCCGCGAGCAGCTGGTACCAGACCCCTATCCCCTCGATTCCTATGAAGGAAGACATGTTGAAACAAGGTTGGAACATGATTCGCTGGACTACAAGACCCTGCCACATTTCTCAAGTGCCCGTCGGCTTGAACCATCTTAAAACATGAGCAAGCTGCGCACCACCAAGCGAGTCTGACACGATCTCTTCGGTTACCTCGTAGGGTGCAGAATGGGTTCGGGTCGCCCGTGCTCTTTGCATGTTTTCTGGGGTCGTGGCGTGACCGAAACACGGTTTTCACATCGAGAGTTCAGAAATGAAGTCCATCTCGCTACGTTTCTTGGGATTGAGAGGATGACGTCGGATGCATCCAGGCAGATCTGGCGAAGAGGATTTACGTCGGGCTGGCTGCAACAATTTTGGATTCCTGATCCACAACTTGTCTGGGAATTGAGTCATGTGAGGCCAGTGAAGAATCTGCAAGGCCGAAAGTGGCTCTACAAGGGGGTTTACAGTTGCTCCGTGTCTAGAAGGAACGGATGAACCTCAGATGAGGGCCCGGGATCTGTAAGTACTGTAGATCGTATAACCGTTTGACAGCAACACGCCACTCGCACGAACGCCACACTCGAGCATCTCGGAGCACATTGCAGTTGCCTCCTGCTCGTTCAACTTCTAAATGGCTGGGGAGAAATTTCCATAACGTCAAGACTGAACATACAGCTAGGCCCGCAGCCACCCACAAGGCCGTCAATGGTTGTCCCTGTGCTTGGCTCGCGTTCACCGCCTTGGCTGTCAGTTTGTCTTGGTGACGGAAATGTCACGCTTCTCTGACATTGTGACATAAGTGAGACTGGTTGGAGGGTGGCGCATGCTGAGTACTGGCAGTACATGGCAGTACGGCTTATGTACTCTCACTTCTGGCATGTCTCCACTCGAATCTCCGCTAAGATATGGCTCGAATCACTCAGCCTGAGGCTCCTGCCAAGGAGACCACCTCCTGATCCACCGAGAAGCGCATGCCTTCCAAGGCCTTCCGGGGTCTAACATGGACCCGAGCAGATCTTCTTGCCCCCGCTTCAGGACAAAACTGTCGCTTGCAGCATGAAACGCCCACAACTCTCTTGCCGGACACAGTCATCCCATCTCCTATAAAACCCACCAAAAAACCGGAGCAACTGGACAAGCAGAGGCCAAGTGTGAGGATGACAATCTAAAGCCTGTCCCAAAGGATCTGCAACTAATGGGGGTCGACTCTAAACCCGGCACCAATGGAAAAAGCTACGCAAAGTATCCTTGCGATCAGTATGGATCCTGACCTCTCCATTGAGCTTCACGTCGTGGAGGCTTGGGGCTTTACTGCTCTTGTCCTGTTGGCAAGTCTTCGCTTCGGCGGGCAAGGTCTTAACGTCTGAGTCTTGCTCCTGCTGTTCTTCCTCTTGCAGCAGATACGACTCGCAATGCTGATGAGGAGGCAGAAGAAGAGTTGTGGATGGCTCTTGATTACAGTTGCTCGTGTCTCTCCTCCTGTCCCGAGTATGACCTTTTGAACTTTATGCGACTGTTTGACTAGCTTTCTGGTGCGATCTTCAGAATAGCTGCGGCTGCTACTGCTACTACTACTGCTACTACGACGACGACTACTACTCCGACTTCTTCTGCGACTACTACGACGACGACTACGACGACGACGACGAGGACGACGACTACTACGGCGGAGGCGGCGATGCCAAAAAAGAATGATATGGTTGCTGCAATATGGCTGGACATGATGATGGTGATAACGATGGTGATGACGATGATGATAATAACAATAATAGTAATAATAATAATAATAATATAATGATGGTGGTGGTGGTGGCGGTGGTGGTGGTGGTGGTGACGATGATGAGGGTGATGGTGGCGATGCACATGCTTCTGCTGATGATGATGATCATGGCGGTGCTGACATTGATATTGCTGCTGCTGTTGTTGACATTGATGTTGATTGTGACGATGAAGGTGAGGACTAAGATGACGATTACGATGATCATGATGATCATGATGATCATGATGATCATGATGATGATGATGATGGCGATGATGATGACGACATATAAGAAGATGTTCATGGCGCAAAAGATTGTTGTGCATAGATTATGCTTTCAGACGGCCTGACCCGTCCAGCACTTCTGCAGAGCACCAAGAACCTCGAGGCCAGTGGTTGAGCGACAGAGGATTTGCAGAGCTGGGTCGAAAGGCTCTTCATTGAGTGTAAGCTGCGGGGAGGAGGCTGGATCGAAATCGGGATTCAAGCCGAGAGTGGAGTAGTGGGAGTGCCGGAACCACGTTTCGCAGGTCCAAAACAAGAAACTAGTGATTCACGAAGCAACCTCAGTTCATGCCGATTGAGGTGACACAGACCCTTATGCACAACGGCCCCAGTAGCCAAAGAAGAGCAGGGCTTGCCTCGGCTTCGCAGGTGGTACAGTTGGCCTTGGTTAGTTCCGTGGTGACCTCGGGCCACTCATTGAAGAGGCCGTACCTGATCTTCAGCCGGAAGGATTTAGGAGGGGCATTGATTTAGAGAGATGTTTTGGAGTTCGTGTTCAGTCCCAGAATTGTGGACGTGAGACCAGATGCATAGTCATGGGGGTAGGGCTCGATGAGTCGTACTCATACCATACTTGAATCGCAAGCATGCCAGGTTACGGAGCCGACGAAATGTAATACGCCATGGGGACTCTGACAGCTTAGCATGTGATGGCAGTCGTCAGACACCGTTTCGATTCTGGTTGCCGTGCGAGGTGCGACTATGGGCAGTGTTGCCATTGCAGTGCCGAGACTATCAGCATCAATGTTGGGACGGGAAATAGCGAAAACTCACAAAGTTGCTGCGCGATGTCTTATAGTCATAGCTTTTCGCTTTTACCTTGTTATTCCTGAAACCAGAAACAGCTTTCAAACAGGTGGGCCCTACAGCATCCGTCCTGATCCCACATCTTCCAACGACTGGCATTATGGCAACAACGTCGCCGAATCCCAAAGAAGCCGGTTGAGAGCATCATTGGAGAGGCTCACACGTTTGCTCAACAGGTCGTTAATTCCAGCGCTGCTACTGCTGGTATTCATTAGCACGACTCAAAGTCATTGGTAATGCTACTTCTGCGGACTCCCCCCGCGACTGCCACCGGTTGTTTCCGTCATAGCAGCAAGGCCACCACAAGATACTTGCACAAAACCTTTGATCCACAAGCCTTCAGTTGTGGGTAAAAACTCACAGAGACCAACAGCACGAGGGCACCAGGTTCCTGTCTTCTCCCACTTCCATCCCCACACCTGGACCGAGGTGGACTTCTGGCTTCAGGTTTGACGGAAGAAGGCGCAGAGCTTGGTGCGCAGAGTTGCAGGTTGAACGTAGAGTAACGTCCTGGAAATGGGGGTCCAGTGGTTTAGGGATCTTCTGTTGTCCTTACAAGGCTTGACGCAAATGTTGCAGCCTTTACTGGGTCTCCCCAAGTGCCGGAACCTGACAGCGAGTTGGGGTTTAACTGGTTGCAGCTCAGCTTGCTGTTTGCCTCGGGGTTTGCTCACATAGCTACATTAGGGAACACAAATCATGAACTCTGGGTTGTACTCTTGGCGCTGAGGTCCGGACGAAGGCGAAGGCACCAATGCACTGTGGATCAGAGAAGCATAGCCTTGAATAGGACAGGTTCTCTGGCACAAGAGCTGATACAACCACAAATTGACATGATTGTTGGCATTCTTGGTATTCGCTGCGGCACCGGTAAAGCGGCAAAACTTTGCCTACAGGCCATGCCTTGAAGTACATGGCCAGAGCATCCATGCCCTCAGCCCTAATGGTGTCCGTTCATACTCGCAGCCTGAATAACATCTGCGTTCGAGATCATCTAATTATCTAGTTGCCCCTGCATCGGTTCACGAATAGATTGAGTCCCTGAAGCTGCTCCAGATTAAGGAGTTGATTTGTCAGGGCGAACACATTGAGAACACATCGCTTCATGCGCCCTCCCTACTCCTTTGTTCGACTGCGCAGCGCTGAGGGTGCAGGGAAAGAGCTTGACGATGAGCTTTGTAGGTAGGGTTTGCTCTCTGGTTCTGTTGGACGTTGGTTCCTTGTCCCGCAGGCCACGCGTGAAGCATCACCCCAAGCCGAAGTCCTAACCCCATGTCTGACACAACATACCAAAAGGCATGCTACCTTCAAAAGTCCCAGACTGTCGAAAATTCAAGGGGCTCGCCGTACGTAATGACAAGAAGCATTGCCACAGCAAAGAATCAAGTATTTCATGTCTTGCGCTCATAGTTCGAAGTTAGAAGAGTCTGTGCAGAAAGTTACTTCTCAATGACCGCACCTTTTGTTGACGTGTTGCTGCTGTCGCGGGCCTATGAGACACGTCCGCTTGTCAAGCAAAAAGCATCAGTCTCCACGCCAAGCTTGAACCAGTTCGGCTCAACTGTCGAAGGTACGAAAGTCGCGCGGAACGTTCGGAAAGAGCTCGGGATCTGCAAGCAGTACCTGTGACAGTTTTGCCTGTACTTCTGCCCCACCTTGGGCATTACGGGATCTCTACATCTTTACAGCAGGCCCTCAAGTTTAGATTTGGGGCTTGGCTTGGGATGTGTGTGTGTGTATATATATATATCTATCTGTCTGTGTGTGTGTGTGCGTCTGTGTGTGTGTGTGCGCGTGCGTGTGTGCGTGTGTGTGTGTGTGTGTGTTATAATGAATTGGTTTGAAGGCTCTCTGAATCAAGATGCTCCCCCCAAGAGGTTGCCACAAAATCCCTGCTTGCCCCAGCTGCAGTGACCCACCTCAAATTGGATTCCGTGTTGGCAACACGTGCATCCAGCAGAGACTAGGCTTGCCGGGAGCTCCGCTCCCGATTTGGGTGTTTTAAAAAGTGTCCCCCAACCCCCCCCCCCCGTCACTCCCCCGCGGCCCACCCTGCCCCCCCGCACTCCGGCCTCACTTCTTTCTTTTCCCCATCCCTTTACTTGCTTTTCCTCACGGCTAGGACAAAACGGGCTAGCTTACATCATTCGCGAATTCGATGCCAAAGCCCGCCAACTCAAAGGTTGTGTTTTGTACTTTGTTGCAAAGCTTGATTGCCCGTACATTTCGCAACACTTTAAAATACTGTAAAATTCGGTCATAACGTGAATGCACTGTAGCATGCAGGGAAAGTGCCACCTTTCGCGTGGGATATTGCTCGGAGCCTCAGCGTTAACACAAATACTCAAGTGAAAAAATATCCTTATGCAAACGCAGTCATCCACTCAAGACCTCGCCTGTGTGACCTACCTCTTGCTTTCCGAAACAGTGCACCTGAGTCAAGTGCAGCCGGAGCCGAGGCAGACGACACAAGTGTTTACATTAAAACAGTCCTCACTGCTTTTCAAAAAGAACATCGTCGGCGTCCTTTTGCCAAGCATTGGGCCATACTGAACTTTCAAGTCGATCCTGCAATTCTACCAGCTTCTACCTGTCTTCTACTTTAGCGGATCAGTTGCGCGGTTGGCCAGCGCGTGTCCGCAATTGCTTACTTGGCGTATCTTGGCATGTGCATAGCAGAACAGCTTGAGAGAACTGTAAACAGATTTCTGAGATAACTGTGTGCAGGCCGTGGCCGAGCTGGCTCTTCAGAAAAGGCATCGATCCAACCCACTGCACATGCACCCCCAATGCCTAAACAAAAGACGTGCATCCACTTCCGATCCATGCCAGAAGGGTATAGCCTTTTTGTTAGACTCGACCCAAAAGCTCTATCTTTTGCCGACCACTGCAGAAACGCTTCCCAAATCTCACACCACAGAACATGCTCATTCACCGCATGCACATTCTAAACCTCGTCTTCAAGCACAACACTGGGCAGAAGGTACATGCACGAACAACCCGAACTTACGATACTCATCTTTCCCTTAATTGGGGGTGGAGGGGGGAGGGGGCGGGTACATGAGAATGTGCTGACACTGTATTATAATAGTAATATTATGAATATTAATATTAATACGAATAATATTAATGTTAGTGTGTATATATGTACACATAAATTGATATTGTACGTATGGAAACCCTCCCCGTCGGTTCATGGGTTGTACGCTTCAAAATAATTATCGTCAATTCGCTTTATCAGCGTTGCTGTTTTTGTATTTTCTTTATCACAAGTGCCCTCACCATCATCAGTATCATACATCTGTTGAATGTCGTTCAGTGTAATAAGCTCAGTACAGAAAATGATTGAACAAACGTAGTTCCCATTCCCCAAACCTTTGTCGGGCGTCGTTGTCTAAACATCGCTGACATCGAACTACACCCGTTTGAATGCATGATTTTTTGTCTTCGGCTCAAGCAGAAGCACGATACTTACCATGTAACTATGAATCACGGAAAGGTGCTCAGGAAGGAAGGCAGCCAGATGTCTAAGCGGAGTCCTTCATGAGTGTTCCAAGGATCCTGTCGAAACATGCCGTATTCTGCCCGTCTAGGATGAATGGCCCGAGCCTTGCAGACTGTATCGGATGAGAGTTGCATGACGCCACGAATCTTGGCCTTGCAGCATGTTGTGCGACCAGTACGTCCGATTGGGGCCTTTGCAAGACTTTCAAGATGGTGCCGGTATGGGGAAGGGCTTCTAACATCGCCCTGGAGCAGCTTGACCACACAGTGGATGCTGCAAAAATTTCAGATCCGAACTCACGTGCGTTGCGACGCAAACACACTTGCTGGTACTATCAAGACGAAAAGTTGGAACTTCCAAGATGACATGTGGTGCCTTCCAGACGCGAGAATCCGTTTCACCAAGGAATGAAGACGGAGATATTCTACTCACAGGGGCGACACGGCTCAGTCACTTGTACCATGACAGTTAGCACTTCTGGACTATCCGATTTCCTCAGCAGATCGATGAATTTTCACACGTGTGCAACACCCGGATCCGTGTAACTGTAATGTAAGGAGCATAGTGCAGAAAAAGACTGTATCACGCGGTTTTGAAGCCAGAAGCAGCTCGACTGTGGTGTACTCTGCAGCTAGATGGGTACCGGGCTTCAAGCAGTGAGCAGGACCCCCGTCTGTGTCGAAGAGAGAGTACCGTGATTCAAGCGGTCAAGAGCCCCCGCTTATAGCCTTATGAGCATCAGCATCATAATTAAACACTTCAACCCGACCTCTTCTCCACCCAGGCTATATCAGTCCACGCGTCTTGGGATAGATAAAGGTTTTTCGGACCTTTCGGAATACATCTTTTGGATTAGTGTACGAGTAAGGGGATTCTGGACAATACATCTGCTTATCTTGGGTTCAAGGGCAACGCGTGATTATTGTAGGGATTTGGGACACTGCTTGGCAGTGAAGCACTCTGTCGTTGTGTACAAGGTTTGCAAAGCCGGGAAAGCATAGATCTTTCGGGGAGGGTAGCTTGCGTCTGTAAAGCTCGCAGTCTTGCCACGGTTGGAGTTTAGGGCTTGAGGATGCTTGAGGCTTAATGCTTCAGGCTTCGGCCTTTACAGTAGGTGTTTGGGCACTTTGCAAGAAGCACAAACACCGACACTTGACGTAACGAATGCAACGTGTGATTGCGGGTGCCAGAACTTTGGTCCACAAATTCTCCCCCACCCGGGGGACATCTGTCTCAAGTGCCTGAAGAAGAAGAAGAAAAAGAAGAAGAATGGAGTGGAAGGATTCCAGTGACCTACATTCCAAGTTCCAAGCCAGCCTGTGCTCACAGCTTATCATGTCGACTCGAGCGTCAGTGGCTGGCCTGCAGTGACGCCCTCGCTGACAATCTCGTCCAAGTCCCTATGCAGAACGACATCTTCGCGCAATGTCTCTTTTAAACCTGCATCTCATTGTTCATCATGACGCGGTTCGCCCTGCAGGGATCGAAGCGCTTCGAGCGGAGGACCGACTGCAGCCCGTAGGGTTTTCTTTCTTCCCTGAAAGTCCAGATCTCCCTCCACGATGTGGAACTCAAAGAGAGGACGCATCTCAGAAACCCGGAGGAGCAAGTAACTCCTGGGTCTCGTACTTGTCAACAAATGCAAACGTGTCGATCAACTTCGCGAGACTCCGTGGGGACAGGCCAACCTCTTTACCTTCCTTGTCAAAAGGATCATAGGAAGTCGGATAGGGATACAATGAAAGCAACTCTCGAACCAAAGACACACGCGGTGCAGCTGTTGTGTTGAAGCAAAGCACTTCTCTAGCAGACTGTCGTCACATGCGATCTGGAGACTACAGGAAGAAAGTGAACAAACAGGGTCCTGCACCTGTTGTTGCAGAGTCCTTTGATTGGGGTGACTTTTTGAATTTGACGAACGGATGCAGCAACTAGTACAAGGATGACAGGACAATGGATCCAAGCAACTCACACGTTGCCATATACCTCGGCACCTTCTCGGTGGAGCTCTCCTTGCGAAGAGTCTAGTGTCAGTAAGGGTAGCATGGCGTCAGTACCTTCCTGGCACAGCTGCATGCAACGATAAGACCAACAAAACAGACCGGATAAACCATGAACATCCACGAACTTCACCATCAAGCACAACATCACTGCCACTCTCATGACAATCATCATGACCACCAGCAGCAGAGCCATGAGACAATGAGAAGCACCCCAGACATGAAAACATCTTTCTGCGACCATGCTCTGCCACAAATGACAACGGAACCCCAAAAAGACAAACCAGAACACCTTGCAGACAACCTGAGAAGAGGACCTCGAGGAAGGAGCTGCCGAGCCAATACTTAAGCCTTTCACGGCGCAGCCCTTCCGATCGGAAAGCGAGCATTGTTTTTCCTTCAAGCTTTTACCACCGAAATCTCAACACTTGACACGCCGAGCCCATAGCGCTCATTAACGCCGAAGCTAGGAACGGGACAAGAATTCTACCCACCTTCAACTCGAACTCCACAACCTCTGGACCTTAAGCCTTCAACACATTATTGTAAACTGTCACGGTGGGACGTCATGCTCTTATATACTCTTGCATACGTACGTATGCACCGACACCCTTCTCTCATGATCTGATCCTCAGCTTGGGTTAACCGCCCGTTTCCGGGCACCCACCACCATCGCCCGAGAGAGTCCTCGATATAGGAGCCCCAGGCTGTCACGGGCGAAGCCCAATGCCCTGGCATCCAAGATTGAAGGCACGTTGGAGATTTTTTGGATCCGGCCCCGGCCCACCAGAAGTTTGGAGCCCTGAATCTCCAACAAGGTTCCACTGAGTCGGAAACCTCACCAAACGGACCCTATCCCAAACCCCAGAGATATGTAAAAAAAATCATCCAAACCAGAGCACCCGAGCATCCCGAAAGCATTCTGAAAACCCATCTAGAAGCTACATGTCCTGGCAGACTCCTGAACTAGCCTAACTAGCCCGAACCATCCGCAAGAGCCTGTCGGGCCAAACTCCATCAGGGCATAGGGCAAGGTCACTCCCAGGCGCCTCTGGGCTGCAAAGCCAGGGAAAGGGATTCCAACTCTTGCTGCTCCCCCCTCCGCAACCCCAATTTGTTGTTTCTTTTCTGGGTTCTTGGTCTTTCGCGGGCTTCTTTGTCTTCCCCCACATGTCATGCCTGCTGTGCGTGTTGTAACTCACGTGCCCCGGCTGCTCAGCAGCTAGCAAACGAGGTATGACTAGTTGTCAGGAGTTGTAGTAGTATGTTGATATGTTCATCCTTTTTGCAATTGCTACAACGCTGCTACAAATTACAGAGGTGGTGCAGTGGTGGTGTTACCTTTTTCCCCTTGCGGATGGTGCCCTCTCGCTGTGGTATAGCCTTCGCTCTTGTGCTTCTCCCCTATTCAGAAGCACTGCCTGCCATGAGGCTCATCACATTGACACTCGTCGCCTCCCTCGTTCCCACCATGTGGCGGCTGAGTTCCGATGTGAACCGTGTCCACAACCTTCCACTGGCAATTCTGCAGATCACGCGTACGCGCCAGCTACCAGGGCACCAACAGGTCCAATCCCGGCGAGTATTGATAGCTTTCTTCATCGCAGTGACGGTCCCATCCTCTGAAAACGACGACTGTAAGGAGGATCCCTTGCGTGCAGGATGCTAAGGGCCCGGGACAGGGATGATGTACGCCGGCACGCGCTGTTGATCCGGGTTCACGGCTCTGAGCTTGGAACTTCTGTCGCGTGGGGTTGGAGCTGATGAGCCCCGACGGGCTGAATCGAAACTGTGAATTCAATCATCAGGCCCTTTCGCTGTGGGCTCGGCAGGTGGGCTGGCTATCGGCACAGATGGCACCAATTGCGGAGTTACGCTCGGAGCCTTGAGTTCGCCGCAGGGCCAAGATCCGGCTGTCAGGGACTGTGAACATCTGTCAACGGTGCATCCCCTGCAGGCCTTAACGTCAAAGACCAAGTCATCCTAGATGGAGCTCCAACAATTCATCTCGCAACCCAGTGTCGTCACGCACATGCGGTTTCTGTCATTACAGGGGTCCCAGGATTCCTCGACCAAACACTTTCTGCCGCGTCACTGCAGGGTCGTCCCAACCTTCAGCGAGTCCTGAATACAGGGGTCTAGGATCGATTCGAAGCACCAGGGACTCCCTGAAGTCTTCGTTCACTCTCCACTCTACATGAATTACACGTTTCTAGCGGATGCTGTGGTTGCGGGGAGACGTGCAGCGGCTCTTCTGCTGTGCAGGGTCGGCACGACCTATTTGGGTTGCATACACATGTGCTTTTGTTCTTCGCAGGGGCAATAAGACCGGTCGGCATCTGGCAAGATGTCCAAGAGACGCGAAACCGCACAACAAGTTCTTCCGGTCCTCCCCGTATGCATTGATGCCAAGGAAATCCAGGGACGTGGCAATCCGCGCGACCATTTTTACCTGTGCATGGCGGCTACAGCACCTGAGCATGAATAAAACACAAGATTGAGACAGCATGCTGGCAATCAAAATTCAACTTCGATCACTGCACCCTGTGCAGGGCTCAGGTTCTCAAGAGTCGCGATGGAACTTGGCTAAGACAGATCTCGAGAGCTGCATTGAGGTTCGAGCGGACTCCCGATGAGCGTCATAAAAACCATGTAATTATGGATGCCAAGATCACGAAGATCACGCATGATGAAAACCCATGGTGCGAATAGAACCGAAAACAAACCTCAGCCAGGAAGGCACGAAGCCTTCTCATCATGAGCCCCTGCCAAGACAGTGCCCACCGGGTGCATCGGGTCCTCTTCCTTCCAGAGCTTCAGGCTTATATCCACCAGCCCTTTTCTAGAGCGTGACTAGATGCGAGTTACATGGAACTGCACAACAACTAAACCCCTCACTCCGGCAGACAATGCCAAATGACAGGGCTGACATGCTTCAATGTTCGTGGACATTTCACGCAGTCACGCACCCACTTAGACACACGCTTTCCAGCAAGTGAAATCCAAAGAAAGTCTGGTCTGTATGGCGTAGATTGCTTTGTGCAGTCGACGTCCATCCCTTTTGCCTGCAGTCCTTTATTTTATCCCCGATCCGCAGAAAGATGAAAGGCAATACACAAACAGAGCACAATTATGTTGATGTCCTGGGCTGGGCCACATGCCACGTCAGAATTCAGGCACACGGAGCCGGCTAAGCCTAGCTGGGCCTAGCTTCCAGTGATAGTATGGTCTGCTTACCCTTTGACACACATTGAAGCATCTACCGTCGATGCGGCTTGCCATTGGCAATCCTTCTGTTTCGAACACTGTCCTCCTTTGAATCCTTATCCTCTCCATTGAAGACCTGATGTTTACGTCTAGGTTGATTCTGGCGGGCCTTGGCTGAAGAGCTTTGCTCTGAAGTAGTGTCTGAGACATACTAGCAGAAACTCACTGCACAAGACTCTCTCATGCTCAAACTCTGTCCTTCACCTTCTGGACCAACCACTCCAGCCGTCTCCAGGTGCACTCTGAACCTCGATCCGGAAGCCGAAGAAGATGAAAGCTCCGCTTCCAAGCCCTACTAAGGTGTTCAGATAGGAAAGGCTGGAGGATCTAATGCGCCCTCAACTACGACTGGATTCCTCGGAGCTCACGGGGCTAATCACCGGCCGTGCCTTTGGTCACCTCCGTGGCGAACCTGGAGTGCATAGTGTCGAGGCTGAAACCGAGAGCCGAGAGCCATGCCAATGCAGAGGGTTGGGGTTTGAAGGGTTCAACGCGCTCGGCCGAGTTCAGGCATTCCGCCACCCCGTTGCATGGTTGATGCGGCACTTGAAATGGAACGAACACGAACAAGCAGAACCCGAGGGTGTTGGCTTACGTGCTGTAGACTCGGGAAGTCCCGCATGCCGAATGTTCTTGTGGAGTTCTCTGACTGTGGGTCCGAAATCAAAATCGGGAGATATCGGGAGATGTCCTTCCTGATGGTTTCTTGCTTCAATACGCTTTGGGGAATTCCCCTGCATGCTTAATTACACCAGCGAAGACCCCAAACAGATTGCATCGAATCACGCCGGTTCAAGTTAGGCAATTTTTTTGCGCAGAAAAAGAATGGGTTGTGATGACATCCGCACGGCAAGGAAGCGTTCTGCTTTTTTTGGAAAAAAAGGCGTGTCCTAAATGTCTTGTTTGTGGGCAGCGCTC